ATAGGGGGGGCAAAGACAGACAACTGTTGCAGGCCACATCCACGTGCATTAATGCTTTCACCTGCTCCTGTATACCTGGATATATCGGTCGAATAACGAGAAGTCTGGAGAAGTGGGTACGCGAACACATACCAGCCTGGCTAGGTAAAGGTGAAAGTTGATCTATTTCAAGTTCAATTCCCGCACACTTAATCCAAACAACCCAGCAAGTTGACATGAGGGTGGCCTTTCAGATCATATAGCAGGCACCAACACGATACTCTAAAGGCCTGCGTAAAGGGGCGCTAGCCACAGTTGAGGCAATGCCAATTTGTCAATCAAAACCTGCTCTCTGCTGTCAAAAAACGCTGGTATATTCAGTTTGCCTCCCATGGCCGACTGCCCACAAGAATCCCACAACGCCAGAATCGGTTCCGTCATAAACCACGCAACCTGAAACTACGCTACCCGCAGCCACAGAGAGCCCGTCTCGCGTGTGACGTCGACCATAGGAACACCCGCCCGCTCCACGCGCGCTACGACCCAGCGCCCTCAGCATACTGAGTTCGGCATGCACGGGACAAGGGATGAGATTAATAATTTTCCCCCCACCGCCTAACACAAGAACTATTTAAATACTGTACATAACTGCCCGTTGTACTATCTTTATTATTCTCCATGTCACTGTTAAGGCCTGATAGGGAATGATCGAAAACAGCCGATAATACCCATAAAATGTGTCTGTAGAATTTATCACTGGCACTGCCATACTTGCTTCTCCTTCCAACAGCTTCACTTGTATTTGTTTCAATATTTCCTCGTGGTCGCATTCACACTTAGTACTACTACGTGCTACAAGGTAGATTTCCATCAGTGAACCTAAACGATGAATGTAAACGGCTACAGAACCTTCGTTTATGTCCATCATTATCCCCAGCAGACACGAAGGTGGTCGGTCTAAGATAGAACTCCCCCATGGCCGTAAAACTAGGCAAGACGAGTGCGTCCAGGTACCTCAAGCTTTCGATATTCCGCGGCGTGGCCGAGGGTTTCAAGGGTTAAGGAACGATGCGATAACACAGACTTGTCTTGCTATTCCTCATCTTAAGATAAATTTGCATAACAATTGCGTCTCTGGGACTATTTTAGATACTCTTTGGGAATGAAAAATCGGGATTCTGATTTTTTCGACGTGCTCCGGATCGGTTAGTTCAATTCCCTCATAGTGGTGATACGGACCAGTGGAGTGGTCGGAAGGACTCAGATTTGAGGCCGTCGTTCTGCAGTTTCCCGCATCCACCATTTTAATGGCATTTAAATAGCTTTAGTTTTGTTGACAGAAGGATAGCAGTCTACCCGCTGAACTTGCCCAACTATGGTGCCAGAGTTGAATGTTTTGCTGGGCGGGCACTTTCGAACCTCAAGAGGTCAAACACTGATGGTTGCACGCTTGTACTGCTGATAAGACGGCAGACATATAGGCGACCCTAGATGATGACGTAAACACACCTCCGTCGCTAAGTCGGTCCAGTACCCCCCCCCTCCCCACCATCTGATGCCTTAACCCTTTGTGTACACTCCTAAAACCCCACCGTTCAAGGTCACATGCTTATAGCAGCATAGTTTCTCAGCTTGTAAACTTATCAGACATGAAACGCCGAGACAAAAAGGTGCAGTTTTTGTAGGTAATAAAAAGTTAAGACATCTGTCTGTCAGGAAATATACGTAGGCAAAGTCTCAGTCATTTAACATCTAAATTCAGACATGGTTGCAAAAGTAATGCATTGAAGGATATTTTCGAACATAGCTTCACTGAACATCACCTTGACCATCGCAAATCAAGGATGCGTAGAGATCCAAGGCG